TGAATGAATTGCTTAGAACAAGAAGATCTCATTGCACATGTTAAAAACTACCTTTCTCATTTTCCAAAATTGCCAACTGTGAAGGATTTGAGAGGACAGATGAGTTTGATGTGTCCACTGTGCTGTGTGCCAGCCTCTTAAGAGCACTGTGTATGCGTGTGATACACATTTAACCAGTTGCTTTCAGCTGACAGTTAGAATTGTGTTTCTGTGTTGGGAAATAACAAAATAAATCTACTCTGTTACATATTTCTTACCTCTTTGATTGTACCTTGACTCTAGCAAAGTATGAAGAAAGATAGGGAAGGAGAAGAAAAAGGGAAGCGAAGAGGATTCCCCAGCATCCTGGGACCTCCGAGGAGACCGAGCCGGCATGACAACAGTGCAAGTATGTTCAGGTTTGAGATGCTGCATTCCCACCGCTCCACGCTGCCTGTCCTTCGGAGGCTCGTTTAGCTGGATTGAAGTGCCGGAGAGGGGCGTCCTTCAAATGGTTCCTCTGAACTTGCAATGCACCTTGTTTCTCATCAGCGTTATTTCTGAACTAAATACCCCCACGTGGCTACATAATTGTCATAGACATCTTTAATGGCAATAGAGTATTCTGTCAGTTGTCCATAACAAGGTTTACTTATCTATTCTGATTTTATTTGCATTAAAGTCCGAATTGTTAGATTAGATTAAAAAAAAAAGTGTGCAGAGATTTCTCTACCACACTGTTTAATCTCTTTATACATAACGTCACTTACTGCATGCTTCTGTAGTTTCTCCACCTCTCTCTTGTGCTTTATTTGCTCATCTCCCTCTACCCTCGGGCGTAATGAAACGAGATGGAGATCAGCCCACTGGAGGGGCTGCAGCAGAAATAAGGCTGATGGGAGATGGGGAGGAGGACTAGGTCCTGGAGTTGTGCTCCTGAACAGGCTGGCATGGGCTCAGCAGCGGGTGGTGTTGTGATAAAGTGATGCTGAATGGCCAACACAATGAGCAGTTCTCACTCAGATACCAGTAGCTCCCCTTGTTGAGAAACACTGAGAAGATGAGGGAAATTTTTAGAGAAGAGGTTGAGGAGAATGGAGCATTTCACAGATGCTGACCATGAGTTCCAAGGACACAGAAGATCTTAGGAAGAATTGCATAGAGCTGTGTGAGGGCGTGCAGTGCTGCGGGGGATGGTGAGCTGAGACTCTAGCTTCTCATGGTGGCTGAGTGAACAGGGGTAATGAGAAGCATAGGGGTGAGTCGGGCATCTGAGGCATATTGTGATGATGGAGCTGTGTGTGCTGGGGAAGCGGGGTGGGAAGGGGCTGCTGAGAGCTCACAGAGGTGACAGGCTTCATCTGGACTCTTCGAAGGAATGTAGCTCCACATGCATCTGTCTCTGTCTCTCAGCGTTCCCTCTTCCCCACCCACCCTCACCCTCCTCACTTCCTTTCCTTGTGACCCTTCCTTTCCTCTTTTCTCCCTCACCACCTCCCTCCCTATTCTCTCCCTCCCTCCTCCACTCATCTGCATTCTCCTTCTTTCCCCCTTTCTCTGTCTATTCTCTGTCCCTCTTCCTTTTTCTCTTTCCTTATTTTCTTTTCTTACCTTTCTGTCTGCTCCTCACTGTATAATAATTCATCTTACATTTTACTAGGGCCCACCATGTTCTGGGTGTAATCCCTTACATCATCTTTTTTTTTCTGTTTTGGTGTCTTGCAACGAAAATAGTTACCCATTGCTTTCTGTTCAGTTGGCAGAGCCATGGAACTTCAGAAGCAGCGCCACCCCAAGCACTTATCTGCACCCTCATCTGTGAGTCCTGAGCCTCAGGACTCTAAGTTACGCCAGAGCGGGTTGGCAAGTGAAGGAGCAGATACTGGATACCTGCCGGCCAATTCCACGTCCTCTATGGCTTCAGTGGCCACTCTTTCCCAGGAAGGTGGGAAAGAGAATGATATGGGTGAGTTAATGCTATAATTCAACCTAACTAAGTATCAAGATTTTAAAAGAACCACACTAAGAAATAGAGTGGCAGATTATTTTAATCAAGGTCCATTTAAATTTAGTTTTAAGACTTCAGTATTCTACAACCAGTGATAAATCTGTGCTGACTGATAATTCTGAGTTCTCATACATTCAAAAAAAATATTTTGAGCTCTGTCAGGCATTAGCTTTGTAGCAGATGTTAGCATGCAATAATTATGCATAGATTTCTTGCCCAGTACAGCTTAGTCTCATGGGGAGATAATCACACAAATAAAAAATTCAGAGTATGCCAAGTCCAGTACTGGAAAGGTAAAGGTAAAAGCTACCGAAGGGACTGATCAGTAGTCAGTTACGGGCAGTTGTGGGGCTGTCTAAAGAAGAATGCTTTAAAAATCTGAAATGCTGGAGACTTCTTTTTTTTAATGCTAAGGGGAAGCCAGTTAAGAGAAATAGGTTGAAAATGCAGGAGATAGATTGTATAACCAACAGAAGAGAGTTTTAAGGTCAGAGGAGATGAGATGCAGAGTGTGTGTGAAGGTCAGTCAAGGTTATTAGCTGAGAGAAGGGTTAGTGAGAAGGGCAAGGAGACTGGAAGAGTAAAGAAAGATAGGAAGTAATTGGAGATAATTGGGAAAAGAGCCTATTTCTATATTTCTTCATACTTGTTATAGTGGGTTTCTTAAGCAAGTGAGCTGGGAGAATAAGTGGTTTTCTTTGGAGAAGGGAATGCCCGTCTTTGTTGGTGATTTTGGAAGCAGTTCTATTTCTGGTATGACAAGATTTAAAATGCAACTCTGGGAGTGGTCGCTGAGGTAGCACAGGGGACGCTCCTGGAGCCGAAGAAGGAAAGGAGCTGAGGAGCCAGGAGTTTGAGTGCCTTGACATGTGCTGGTTCTGAGGCCACCCCGCGTGGTATTAGCATGGCGAGGAGAGCTGTGAGCCGACAGCCAGATGTGCAGTGCTGCTCGATGATTGGTGTTGGGGGAGAGCATGTGATAATACCCCCCAGAGAGTGGGGGCCTCAGGGCAGCAAGAGGCTTCCGTAAGAAGGCAAGGCAATGGTCTAAAGTGATACGAGGACCAAGAAGGAAGCCGTCTCATCTCTACCCTGCAGTACAGTGTGTGACACAGACATCAGTCTCTGAGAAGGAAGTAGCAAAAGAGGTAACCCCCCCGGAAGAGGCAGCTTTTTAAGACAAAGTAGGAATGACATTGCAGGACAGTCTGCAGATTTTGTCTGAAGATGTTAGACTGAGTGCACGCTTCAGTTCATGGCTCCCATGTCCACTGAGATTAAAGCATGGGGGGTAATCAATAAACAATAAGGAGAAAGGAAATAGAGGAAGAGCAGGTGTTATTGACAAATAAGAGATTTCAACGAATTTTGGGAGGTTGAAAGTGGACAAGAGTTGTTGGATAAAAAAGAAAACATAAAAGAAGCTGGAGCCCATCATCTGTTTAAGGGGTCTGAGGGGAGCCAGACTGCCTGTTTGGACCCTGGGGAGACTTTGGGCTCAGAGTTGTCATACCCTGTGAGTGTGTGAATAAGTAAAGCTGAAAAGGATGAATTAATTGAAAGTTTGTTACCAAAACAATAATCTCAACGGCCTCTGATCCTTGCATTATAGAATATAAGCTGTCGTATATGTACCAAAAGAAAATGCGTGTGTTCTTTTTTAGGGAAGTTGAATGAATTGTGTAAGGAGAATTAAATCCTCCATGGTTGTAATGCCCTGGGGTTCTAACATTGGTGGGCCTAAAGCCTGACAATAGGCCTGCCAGGGTCTCGCCCTGCTCAAAGAGCTCCCAACTAAAATGGGCCTATTTCCACATAGCAGTAAAAGCTACCCAGTCTTGTATTCTTATATATGGACCAAGGATCCAGGAATCGCGTACCTTAATATATACAGGTTTTAAGGTTACCTTGTGTGATAATTTCATGGAGAGGAGAACTGTAAACATTACTCACTGTTAGCCAGATCTGCTTGTTGGGAATCAACACCTAAGATAATACATAATGCCAAACATATTAGTGACATAAAAAAAGAGAATACAAAATAATCAGAAAAACTGCCCCTAGTAGAAAACAATAATTTACATAATAGATAAAAACCTAGGAAAGGGGGTGGGGGATGAGTAAAATAGGTGGGGAAAAATTTTTTTTAAATATGAAGTATAACTATTTCAAAAAAAATACCTCTAATTTGGATAGTATACTTAGAGAAATTAAAGAAGTTATTATATCTATAAAATAAGAGTCAATGCTATGAAAAAGGAGCATTCAGAGACCACAAAATATTTTAACAAAACTATTATGTACAGTACTGTGGTATTTGTTAACAATTGCTTTGTGATAAATTACCCTACAACTTAATGCCTTAACACAAAAAGACATTTATTATCTCACATTTTTGGTGGGTAACGAACTTGTCAGCAACTTAGCTGGGCCCTTCTGGCTTGGCTTCTCTCATAAAGTTGAGGTCAAGATGTCAGTAAGTTGTCTGAAAGCTTAGCTGGGGCCAGGAGACCTATTCTGTGCTCATGCAGGTGGCCCGTGGCAGGAGGGCTTAGCTCCTTGCTGGAGGCCTTGGCTTCTCACCACGGGGGCTGCTCCATAGACCCGCTTGCATACTCATGACGTGGTAGCTGACTTTCCCCAGAGTGACACAGAAGAGAAAGCAAGAAAGAAGACTTTAGAAAGTATCTTTAATGACTTAACTTTCTGTGGTGTACACTGTCACTTCAGCAAGTTAGAAGCAAGTCAGTAAACCTAGTCCACACTCATGCAGAGAAGAGCTAGGCTCCATCCCTGAAGAGAGGAGTATGAAAGAATTTGTGGATATATTTCAAACTGCCACAGTTGCCAATAGTTAAAGAAAAAATTGTTAAAAATAAAGTTAAGGAAATATTTCAGAATGTATACCAGAAACATGAAGAGATAGAAATCGGAGAGACAAGAGTTATGTAGGGAATCACTACAGAGGTCCAAGGTCTGTGTCTGTCCTTCACAAACCAGCAGAGCAAGCGGAGGAGAGATAGTTAGAGCAACATTAAGGGCAAGTTCCCCAGAGTTGAAAAAGAATAAATGTCTTCAGATAGAAAGGACCCACCGAGAACCAACCACAAATGATCCATACTTAAAATATCTTTTAGGAATTTCAGTGCACCAGAGATAAATGAAAAGAATCCTAGAAGCTCTTAAGAGAAAGAATAGGCATTATACGGCATCACGTTTCTCACTGTAACACTAGGTGTTAGAATACAAAGGAGCAAAGCCTTCAACTTGCTGAAAGGAAATGGTGTTGAACTCGGAATTCTGTATCCACCCAAACTATCCATCCAATATGAAGACAGACACAGAGTCATTTTCAGATATGTCAGGATTCAAAGTTAACAGAAATGAACCTTTTCTTTGAACATTATTGGAAGGTATATACACTCCAGAAAAATGAAAGAAAATTAAGAAGGAAAATGTTACAGAATCCAGGAAACGGTGGAAACAACCCAGGAAAGTGGTGAAGTGCAGCCCTGGGATGATAGTTGGGTCACAGGCCAATGGAACAACTGCTCCAGAGGGGAACACAGAGCATAGGGGATAAGAAAAAAGTGAGATTGTAAGCAGTTGATAGTATGATGTTGTGGATGAAAACATTTGAGACTTTGGTAAAATTATTTGACACAATAAAAGAAAGTGATTTAGAAATGGTAAGAAAAATAGAATTGCTCAGGAAAGTTACCACTATTTAAACATGAAACAAAAGAAGTGGCATAATCTTCAATTGATGGAGTATATAATTTTAATGTAATAAATATTCCAGTTCAAGTGGCCCAAGGGTTGCGTCATTGGACCAGTGGAAAAGAAAACAGAATTCTAACTAACATACCTCTTAACTTGACAGAAATAGTATGTATTAATATTAATACATAATTATTATTAATAATAGTGATGCCTTTGTATATGACAATACATACTATTACCATAATAATGCATGTGCTCTGTTGGTTTTCAGACTTTTAGGATAAACCTAGTAGGCAAAGCACAGAATATTTAGTTGTGGCTGCAGACAGAAAGGAAATGTAAAAAATCCTCTAATGTTACAAGTAAAAATGTAATAAAAAGAAATGAAAAGTAGAAGGAAAGAAATACAATTAAAGGGAAGGATGTGGACAGTAAACTCCTAATGTGATATAGGAGAGAGTTAAGATACTCTTTGATGAAATAAAAATACAGATATAATTCATCATTTAAACTTAAGTAAAAATAACTCGTGGTAATGATACAATTATTAAACATGGGGAAGAAATGTGGGGAAGTGAAGATGGGAAGAGGTATGTTAATAAAATCCTAAGAGGAGGAAGAAATCGATACTACTATTTAAAGACAATAAAGAAAAAGAAGTATGAGTTATTGTTTGGAGTTGGATCAACATAATGACTTCAAATATGAGTGAAAAAGATTGGCCCTGGGGGTAGAAAAGACAGAGGTAAGAGGGTTTTTCCTCATCACATACTCTTCTGAGTTCTTGCCATATCTTTTGATATTTTTTAAAGCTGCTTAAAGATGATGTTCCTATTCATTTTGTAGTACATTTAAAAATTTTATATATTGGAATTTTGGTTTTAGCTAACCTGCTGGAAGTGTAGTTTAAACTCTAGTTTAAATAAGAATGTGTCTGTGCATTAGGTTGAAGCTCTTTGGGGGACTAATTTTTTCTATTATTATTGTCTTCATTAAGTACTAATGCCATCTGAATGTCTGCCTTTGTCTCTTTAGGATCAAAGCAAGTTGGAGAAACGCCAACATCTGGAGACTCCTTAGATAGCACACCTCGTACTCCCAATACCATCTTTGATTTCCCACCGCCTCCATTGGACCAAGTGCAGGAGGAGGAATGGGAAGTAGAAAGGTAATCAGTGCTGTCTTGGTGCGGTTAGGAGAAGTGCTTCACAGCTGTGACTATATGACGTTCCTATCCTTTGTAGTGTTTTTTCCACATGTGCTTTTTGGGAAAGAACTAGAATTTATTGGTAGCAAATACTAGGTGCTGAAATGTCTTTCAGTTTATCTGATATTAAGTCATTACAATATCCAGAAGAATTATTTGTCAGCCACTATAGTTCAATGCAGTTTTGAATATCTTTGGCATAAATTTCTTGATCCCCATTTTGTCATCTCATTGACTCTTTGTTCTTCATTGTTTTAGGGTGACTGAACATGGGACACCAAAGCCCTTTCGAAAGTGAGTAGTCCTAATACAGCTTTCAGGAGAGGCGTTATTTTAAGAAATACATCTTTTTTCCCTAGTGTCCTAGTTGCAAAGAAGAGAAACCCTGTACATAAATCTGTGGGATAGTATAAAACACAGTTCTTAATGAACACAAGTCATTCCAAAGGTGAGTGCAGGGGTGTATGTAACATGTATCAGCCGTTCTGTAGGTGACGATGTTTCGGGCTCAACGCTGAGCCAATGCTTCGGAAATCTGACTGACTGACAGTAATGTAAAGACTTGTGCTGTCTTCCTTTGTCCTCCTGCTGTCCTCAAATGGAATTCATTTTTTTCCACTAGGTTTGATAGCATTGCTTTTGCAGAAAGTCAAAGTGAGGATGAACAGTTTGAAAATGATTTAGAGACAGATCCACCCAACTGGCAACAGCTCGTTAGTCGTGAAGTGTTACTGGGACTAAAGCCTTGTGAGATCAAAAGGCAGGAAGTGATTAATGGTGAGTTTAATTAGTTTTTGTTGTTCACGTATATTGAGTTTTATTAGAGTAAAACAAATCCCTGAGCCGTGGAGTTTTGCTTCAAAGTTTCAGCTCGCCTTACCACGCTGATGGAACAGTGACTGTAACGCCTGTGCGGCGGGGACTTGATAATGGGGGGAGTCTAGTAAGCACAGTGTTGCTCATGTAATTGTATATTCCAAGTTTCAGCTAGGCTTTTGTTTTAAACAAAACAGGAATTAAACTAGATAGATGACCCTTGGACTTCCCAACTGAGAAGATACAAGTGCTTCCGTGATTCTTGCTGATAATTTAAAAGGAAAAGGTGGTTGGCCTTCAGGATATTTGACATTCATAGCATTATAGGTCTTAAACTTGAAAAGCCATTGAGACAGCGTTTGTCCCACCGCTGTACTTTCAGGCTAAGTCGTTTTTATGCGCAGGTTGTGAATGAGGAGGCTAAGGCTCGGGGTGACTGGCTGAATCAGTCATGATTGCACAGCTGATAAGGGAGGGGGAGAAAACTGGGATCCAGGTCTTCCTTTATCCTTGTGCTTTATCACAGCAGAGGTGTGACATGGATGTTGTACCCACGTCTGTCTTTAGGATGTGATTTGAATTAATATCCTTCTTGTCTCTGAAAACATTAAGACATAGTGAAATTACAAGCCTGGTCTCAGAAATGAGGGTTTATTGACACATTAGATAACCGAAGTACTGGTACTTCTGAAGTAAGGGCTCCATTTAAAGGCTGTATGGTGTTTGAGCTTACACTCTTCTAATGTAGTTGTGATGGGTGAGTACTGTTGTAAAAAGACAGATGGATTTTGGAGTACACTGTAAACTTTTATGTACAAAATAGTTTTGAATGATGTTTTCATTTGCCAGTGTTCAGCTCTTGGAGCCAGTATATAGGAGACTTTTATGGAATCAGGAAAGTGACTTCAGAGATACTACATCCTTTCAAAACTATAAATAATTATATAACTCATTTGCTACTTAGTTTCAGCTAAAGCCTATGTTTGGTCCCATTGAATTATTCTAAGTAAGGTGACGTTTTTGGTGTTTTTTTTCTGCTTAGAATTGTTCTACACTGAAAGAGCTCATGTTCGAACACTGAAGGTTCTTGATCAAGTGTTTTATCAGCGAGTGTCCAGAGAAGGAATTCTGTCACCTTCTGAGCTACGGAAAATTTTTTCAAACTTGGAAGATATCCTTCAACTTCACAGTAAGAGAAATTGACTCTGATCTTGTCTTTAACATTTTCAAAGATAAAGGATTGTGAGTACATAAAGGTACTTAACAACAGTAAAATCTTATAAATATATCCATGTTAGCATTCCTGAAATTATATAATTATATGTGAACGTACAACATACATAAATAAATAATTGGATCTTTGAATAGTTCCCCTCTCCCAACCTCCTCCCCGCCCTCCTACCATCAACCTTGTACATACAGTGTTAACACAGGATTTGGATCTAAAGTCAGTGTCTAAGATGAAAAAAATCATGAGTAGTTAAAATTACCCTTGGAAATTTCCTATCAATTGCAGTATATAAATATTTTTAAATATATATATCCCATATAATATATGTATAAATACATTTATGTTTATAATGTATATACAGTATATGATCCTATACTAGGATACTTTTCAGGAATTAAATTATTTTATTGTTTCATTGTTTGGAATGTTTGAGTAAGTGTGTAAAAATTCTTCCTTGCTGGCTTTCTCTGGGTCAATCATCTCTGACTTTTGTAGGCAATAGGTATCAATCCTTCTCTTTGTACATCACTGTTTCTCTATTACACTCAGTTTGCAGTCTTTCTTTCATCGAGGATGCCAGCACCACCTCTAACGCGTGCCCACCAAATTGATGACTTTTACCTCTTTGTGGGTGATCTGAGGTTCCACAACATGCACTGACAAGTTCAGGCTTGATTTTATCTATTGCCTATGAACATACGCATTTTGAGAAGAACACTGGACAGAATCACCTATTCTGCTTAAATTTAAGTTCTTCGTAAGCATGGTTTTGAAGGAGTCTTAAATGCGTATTTGATGCACCTATACTATATGTAATGTGCTAGTTTCCACGCTGTTTTATGCTTTGGCACCTGTTTTTCAGATAGAGCTCACAAATATATATAAGAGCTGTATATTTATATTTATTTTTAAAGAAATTAGAAGCAGCTATACTACTCTGAAAATCCTTTTTTAGAAAATGTAGGTTCTTGGTACTCCTAGTAACTCAAACTGAAATGAGTGTATTCTTAATTGTTTTTCCATTGTTTTTTTTCTTTTCCCTCATTAGTTGGGCTGAATGAACAAATGAAGGCTATTCGAAAGAGGAATGAGACCTCAGTTATTGATCAGATTGGGGAAGATTTGCTGACCTGGGTAAAGAAGTTTGCTATTTCATTTTTTAATTTTTATAGACACTTCATATATTTATAGATAATTGATTATTAGATTCAAGATTAAATAACTTACTTTTCCAAATACGAAAATTCATCCAGTTTGCAAAGCTAAATGTAAAGATGAAAAGGGTCATAATATGTATTCCCTTTGTTAATGTCTTCAATGTACACTCAAACTAAGTCCTTCTTTTTCATTGAAGTAAAGATAACAGTTCTTTGTGTTCTGAAGAATATAGAGTAAAATGGATCTTAATAAAAATAACTAAGGTAGAATTTTAGCTGTCTTCTGTTGTCCAAATCTGAGAAATATACTGTAAAGCATCAGACAGTTGTAGACCCAGAACTACCATCACAAAAGCAGAACAGTGAAAATTACTTCATCTTAATTACAGTGTAAGGAAAGTCTTCAGAGACGATCATAGCTGCTTGTCAAGGTCTGTTTATCTTTCTGCCTATATACTCTTACCCACAGTGTATACTTAAGTGCCAAGAACTGTTCTAGGTGCTGGGAATAGAGTGGCAATCAAGACATGGCTCCTGCCCTGGTAAAGCACCTAATCAATGGGAAAACAGTCACTAGTTGTTCTGAGTGTGATGAGTGTTACAAAAAGAGGGGAGTATATATATATATAGGTGGTTACGGGAGTACATAGGGGGGAGACCTAACCAGAACATAGAGAAAATTTTCCCAAGGGATAGAGGGTTTGATCCAAACTTGTAAACAAAGTGCTGTGGTCTTAGACTGTGAATAATAGTAGACTATTATGACTAGTTCTCAAAATCTTAACACAGGTTGAACAGGACCTACTTAGGTGTGCCCACAGAAACTTACTTCAATATGTAGACTGCTTGAGGAAATGCCACAAGGTTTTGGTAATCCTGCAGTGATAACATTACAAGATTAAATACCAGGAAGTCAGCTAAAACATGCCTCATCTTACTCCTTTCATTGATGGTGTGTCATGGCTGGGAATCTACTGATCCAACAGGAGATCCTCTTCTTAGCCACTTGACTCATAGAACAAGATCAGAGAATCAGAATACAGTCTCATCCGGCATTTATTGGACTTCTCAAAGCATTTTCTTGCTAAGTTAACTCTGCCATCATTGTTTTAAGGAGATTTAGCTTCCTTGAAAAATTCACCTTAGTCTGTGGCTCCTCTGTGACAGTGGGACCCGTTTTGTTTCCTGACCTTGGTGTGGCAGTGGAAGTTATAACTGGGTTTGTTGCCTTGGCAGACACACTATTTGACTTGAAACAGACAATTTGTAGTATGACATAATATAGCTCCGATTTTCAAGTCAAATTTGGATTTTAAAGTTGTAAATCATATGGATTTAAGATATCAATCTTAGTTCCTAAGCAGTTTCATTTGCATGTCATGTAAATAAATGTTTAACCCAAGTGTCAAGTGAGATTTGTCATTAATAAGGCACAGAAGTATAACTGGTCCTTGTACCACAGTTCTTTGGATCGATAACTCCATGATATGGTAATACAAAGTGGAGAAACCTATGAACAGAGTGGGACAGAAAAAATTATTTTAGAACACATTCAAAGAACTGTCTTCTTGACCAATGTAAGGTACCTATGCAAAGCTGAGGAAAAACTGAATGAACCAATCTGGTCAGGAACTATTAGGTACACAGGGTTAATGTAGGACAAAGCATTGGCCAGAAATACCAAAAGCAAAAATCACAAAGAGGCCTTTAGATTTACCCTATATTTAAAAATAGTCTTAAGATGTTTTTCTGGTATTGGTCCCTTGAGGTCACCTTCTGTATACTTAAGCTACGTGCAAAAGTACTGTAAAACTGCTTGAGGTTGGGAGCGTTGTTTTCTTTTGTAAACCCAGCTGGTATTGTTTGCATGGTGCTTTGATTAATTAACATGCCAAATACGTTGCCAGTCTCATCTTTAAATTTATGGAGTGTTGTATTTGTAATAGAATAAGAATACAACATTGGACCAACTATTAAAATAACACTTCATATGTGTCCTTGTTGAAGGAAGCAATTCTGACTTCATCTAAAAATACAGTACAAAAGGATTTTTCACAAAATATCTTCATAGACAAACTTTTGGAAATAAGACTTTAGATGGGAGGTTGTACAAAAGCTTCTTTGTTAACCATAAAGCAATTATTATAAATACAAAAATGGTTAAAAATAATTTCTTGAACCTGTACTTACAAGAGTACCTATTATGAGTGAAGCACTTATAAGGTATTTTGTAAGAAACTTCAAAGTCATGACATGTACAAACTTAAATTTAAAAATTTAAAAATACCAGCTAGAAGTATAATTCTTAGCAAAAGAGGTTCATAGGCTCATGGGTCTCCCCCAAGAGAGATTCAATGCCTAGACCTCTACCTTGCACAAGTAAAGCGGTAGCAATTTGTTTTGCAACTCAGAAAAGTTAGGACCTGCTTTGGGTTTCATAGTGAGAAAGCAAGATAGAATCCCAAGGGTTTTCTTCCTGGAACAGTAAGAGAGTAATTTTTGTGCAGATTAAATTTTGTCAGATTCTAAGAATATCAAACTTTAGCCTCAGTCTGTAAGTGTTTTGTGTCTCATAGTCCCCAGATGTCAACCTTTCCATCTTATTTAGAAGGGGTGTAGACTGAAAAGGTAGTAAGTTGTGGTAGGCTGCAAACAAGAAAACATCAGAATACCATCAGAAAAGGTTGGAATGTGTCATGGTCAAGCTTTCTTAGTGGAGGAACATTGATAACACCGCATAGATACACAGATGTGTTTCTAGTCTCTTGAGCATGCGTATTAGAATACTGAAAGAATTCTAGTTGTCTCCATTTTGCCTGGCCTTGTGTAAGTTCAGCTTCTCTATGTGTTCTTTGCATTCTTGGCACAGTTCAGTGGACCAGGGGAAGAGAAGTTGAAACATGCTGCTGCTACCTTTTGCAGTAACCAGCCTTTCGCCCTGGAAATGATCAAGTCTCGTCAGAAAAAGGATTCTCGATTCCAGACTTTTGTGCAAGTGAGTTGAATTTCGTCATGTAAGGAAAAAAAATGCAACTTTAAAAAATCAATTCTGGAATAAACTGGGGGAATTCTAAGACCAATTTTTATAAAGATTATATCTATGTTAATTTTGTTTAAAGCAAAGCCATAGGTTATTACTTTAGGGCATAAAGGTGATATTGGAGTGGTGAATAATAAATGTATGTTAGGATTGAATTACTTGGCACTCATTCCACATTGCCATGGGGATATTGTCAGGTAATGGGCCCATGTACACTGTTAAAATAATATTGCCAAAACTTGAAATTAGGCTTATGTAAAAACCAGGGGAGAATATAACAAGATCAGTAAACTACAGCCCACAGGCCATATCCAGTGTGTTGTCTGTTTTTATAGAGTTTTACTTGAACACAGCATTTTAATTGTTTATCTCTATATAACAAACTAATGCAAGCATAACACCTTAATGCAAATTTATTTTGTCACGGTTTTGGGCATTTAGGAGTATAGGTATAGTTTAGCTGGCTTGTCTCTACATGCTTCTATCTGACTGAAACCAAGATGTCAGCTGGAACTGCAGTTCTCATCTGAGACTTGGGTCCTCTTCTAAGCTCACTGGTTGCAGAATTCATTTTCTTGTAAATGTAAAACAGGATCCCTGTCATCTTGCCATTGTTGGTTAGGAATTTCTGTTGGCTTCTACCGAATGCCCATGTCTCTTTGTCATGTGTAGTGTATAAAATGGATGTCTCTTTTCTTCCAGGCCAGTAAGGATGTGGCTCTCTGAAGAGCTTTCTTTTAAAGCCTTTTCTAATTAAGTCAGACTCACCTGGGACACTCTCCTTTTTGATTGACTCTCAGTTAACTGATAGTGGCCTAATCATAGGAGTGATAGCCTATCGTATTCACTGGGTCTGTCCACACTCAAGGGGAAGGGATTACATAGGGTGTGTACATCCAGAAGTGGGAATCTTGGAGGCCACCTTAGAACTCGGTGACACACAGTCATGTTCATTCATTTACGTATTGTCTGTGGCTGCTTTTGTGCTAAAACAGCAGAGTTGAATAGTTGTCATAGAGACTACATGACATGCAAAGCCTAAAATATTGACTGTCAGTCACTTTGCTGAAACGTTTGCAGACCCTGTTACCGATGAGCTGGTATATCCACACTGGTGATCCATTGTGCCTACTTGGAATGGGAGATAGAAAATTAACTGACTAACTTTTGGCAGGAATGCCAGTCACAGGAAAATGTAAATAGATTTTCTGAATATGTGAAGATAAAACTGTTTTATCATAAGAAAGCAATTCTTAGAGTTGATTATGGATGCTCTCAGTCCTGCTTAACCAGATAACAAAGAAACCATTGGCTTAGTTATAAAGGCTTCTTTCCTCCATGGCAATGGTATGTCTCGGCATGTTCTAAATCTTGATTTAATAACCAGAACTGCGATGCTCTGGACACTTACATGATGGCTATATGGTATGTGTTAGGTAATTATAGCTCTAACAAGAATTAGAAATTCACTTATTTCATTTTAATTCTAGGATGCTGAGAGTAATCCACTGTGTCGTCGCCTACAGCTGAAGGATATCATTCCCACCCAAATGCAGAGGCTCACTAAGTACCCTCTTCTACTGGATAATATTGCCAAATACACAGGTACAGCATTCTCACTGCCATGAAAAACCTTAGGAGCCAAAATATGTCCTGCTCAGTAATCTCCTACAGCATCCTGGTGCCTGGAAGTTGGATTTCCAAATAGGATGGCAGCATTTTCTAACGAGTTAATTTAGTCTTCTTCAGGCTGTTTGTTTAATGTTCTCCATTAGTGGCTTTCACACGGGGTTTGGCAAACTATGGAACATGAGATAAATCTGGGCCACCACCTATTTGTGTCAGCAAAGTTTTATTGGAACATAGTTATGCTCATTTGTTGCCATATTGTCTCAGACTGCGTTTGTACTGTAAGAACAAAGGTGAGTAGTTGTGACAAAGACCATTTAGCCTGTAAAATGTGTAGCATTTATTATCTGTCCCTTTACAGGAAGTGTTTACTGATTATCTTCCCTGGTATATATCACATTTGCTTGTAGGTTTATACTGGGTTGGGAAAATGTTTTGTATCTGTATATGTACTTTCATGAAGCCCCACCCATGCATTATAATTCCAGCTCTCTTGTTTTGAAACATGAAGTGAATCTGAGTTTCTCAGTTGAGTTTAGGCTTTATACTTAGTTCTCATTAATAATTCTATGCAATCAAACTCCTGTTCCTTATGCCTGAGATTTTGAAAATATTCATACATATTAATTTTTATACTTTAGTATATCTGTTCAATACAGTTAGACTATTGTTTGGAGGATTGTAATTTTGAATATTCTGATTTTGGTATTCTTTACATTGTAGACCTTAATTTATTGCAACACATTTTGGTGAATTTCTTGTTCTTTTAATGATACAAATACTGTAATCTATAGTTGATATACACTATTATATTGGCTTCAGGTATACAACATAGTGAGTCATCTATTTCCTTTCTTTATAATCTCAATTCAAAGAAACTTATCTAGAAGTTATTTTGAATTGTATTTTCATTCAAAAAATACTGCTTAACAGGTCCCTTGGCCATAATCATGTAGGCTCTGCACTGTGAAATTCTATGGGGAGAAGAGGCCCCATTTACATAGCTTACAAAGTGGATGAGGCCCACTCTCTAGAGTGTGTAACATAGTGGGCCTCATACTTGATGTAAAACATCATTTCTTGGATTTGAGGTTCTATACTGTGGCTTCTTTTTAAAGATTAGTATTTATGCTTTAAATGACTATCACAAGAAGTCCCACCTGTCCAAATACTACATGAATTTTTATTCCGCTGTAGGTTTTGGCGTGATATAAAAACACTCAAGATCTTAATATGTTCTTATAACTATTGAAATACCTACATCTATGTTTATATCCTTTTCCGGTTTCGTCTGTTTGTGTTTTGGATTTCTTCTCCATACTTAGAATGGTCAATGGAAAGGGAGAAGGTGAAGAAAGCTGCAGATCACTGTCGTCAGATCTTAAATTATGTAAATCAGGCTGTCAAGGAGGCAGAAAACAAGCAGGTAAGATGGGAAAAGCAAGATCAGGATTGTATAGTGAGAATATCAAATTAGTGTTACCTGGAATCTGTAAAATAATTGAAACAAATATTACATAATTGAAGAGCAGGCCATGTTTAACTATTCGTGTAGTACGTGAGTCCAGATCAATTTGTGATAGAACATCAGAGTTGTATCTTCCTCTTTTGAGCATCTATAGCTGCTTGTTTGCTCATTCATTCATCTATTCATCAACAAATATTTATAGAGTATCTACTGTATACTGAGTGTAGGGTATTGAGTGGTTAAGAAAATGAGCACAATAATTGTCCACATTGAGCTTGTTTTCCTAAGCAAGATAGAAAGGCATTGAACAGATTATAGTGCAGGTGTTTTATATCAATTGTAACAACTACAATGAAAGAGAATTTCAGGATGCTAGGAGTGTATAGTTGGGGCCGGGGGCTAGTCTAGTTTGAGGGTGTTAGATGGTGGTTATCAGAGAAAGCTTCCTTGATAAATTGACATATAAGTCAAGCTCTGAAGGATGAGTGGAAATGAACCAAAAGAAGGTGGAAGAGAACATTACAGGTAGAGAAAATGGCATGTACAAAGTCCTGGGGTAAAAAGGAAGCATGGGCTGTTGGAGGAACTGAAAGGTTACGTGAGTGTGGCTCATGCCTAAAAAACAGAGTGGTATGGAATGAGGTACAGTAGGCCAGGGCCAAGTCATACAGGGCCCTGGCAGGCGATGTTAAAGATTGTGATTTTTATTCTAAAAGCAGTAGGAAGTCATTACAGAAATTTAAGAAGAGTGGAATGTTCAGATTTTTTACTTGTAAGTATCACTTATGCTGCTCTACAGAGAATGGGCTGCAGGGGAAGAGAGTGGATGAGAGCTCTGTTAGTAGTCTCCTGCAGAGTCCAGCGCAGACTGAGGGTGGCTCGGAGAAGTGCAGGGATTGGAAAAGCACTTAGAAGGTGAAGCTGACGGGACTTGGTAACTGATTTAGAGAAGGATTTGAAGAGAGTGATGCCAAGAGTAAATCCCCGTCTCCGGCTTATGCATTTGGAAGGACAGGATGAGTGCAGAAGCCCCAGGTGTGTGGGGAAGATGATGAGTTCATTTGGGATGTCAGGTGAAGATGGACATAAACAGTTGGCTAAGTGGATCCACTTCTATGAGGACTTTGTTGAAGATAAAAGTACAAGATTGTGACCACGTAGAGGCTATGGCTTCCATGGACCTGGATGTGATTTCTTAGGAATTGCCTATGATGACAGCCATTGGTGAGGCTGTAAGAAAACAGGAACTTGGCAAATGTAATGTTTGGGGTGTAAGATGTTAAAACCCCAGAGGGCAATTTGGCAATATTTACCTAAACTAAAAATGGACACAATCATACATCTACCATTTGACCTACCAATTCTATTCCTAGTGATTTACCTGAGAACTAAAGATACATATATGTCCACAGACTTGTACGAGAATGTTTACAACATAAACCAGATGTGGTATAGCCATAAACTAGAATAATAACCATTGGTATAAAGGAGTGAACATGGATGAATATCACAAATGTTATGCTGATTGAAAGAAACCAGACACAAAAGAGTACATAGGTGTAATTCAATTTCTATGAAGTTCTAGGACAGGGTAAATCTATGGTGGAAGAAAATCAGAAAAAATGGTTGTTACTGAGGCTTTAGGGACATATATTAACTAGGAAACTTACTGGGGTGATAGCATTTCTTATCTTGATAGGAGGTGTATTGATTGCACAGGTGTGTGCATTTGTTCGTAGAAGGGTACACATAAAATGTGAGCATTCACTGTATGTAAGTTTTACTTTAAAAACAACTGTACAAAAACTGAACTCTTGTTAATGATATGCATGTTAAAATGTTAAGAGGGAACATGAGCTTTTATATCTGTAACTTACTTTGAAACACATCCAAAATATAAGATGGATTGAGGGATAGATAGAGGGATGGATAGATGGGTAGATATGTGATAAAACAAATGTTAATTGTGGAATGTAGATGGTGGCCTGTATGGCTCTTCACTATATGCTCAAACTTCTCTGTATATTTGGAAATTTTTATCGTTTTGGAGAAAAATGTACCCTTTGATCTAACAGTTGTAGAAATTTATTCTACAGATATGTCCACACAGGTGTATAAAAACATATTTAAAGGCCATTTTATTGCAGTATTATTTGTTATAGAAGATTGGAATTAATCCATGGCCATCAGTAAGGGGTAATTAAATAAACTATAGTTCATTTCACAGAGTTGAACACCATATAGCCAGTAAACAAATGAGACAGCTCTGTCTATATGTGCTGATGTGGAACAATCTCTAACATGTATTGATGAGTGATAAACACACAGAAATGTCTATATGAATATGTTTCTGTTTTAGTAATACATATATGAATATATTATGCTATATCTTTTTTAAAAAGGGTATGCATATATATATACATGCATACAGACAAGCATACTTATTAAGTACATATATTGTATTTGCTTAGAATTTTTCTCATAGGCTCCCTAAGGAATGGATATTAGTGACTGAGTCTTAATAGGAAATTGTGTGTGGGGAGGCAAGAGGGCAGCCTTGGAGGGGGACCTACTTTTTATTGTGTGCCTTACAGTGCCTTCTGGATTTTGTACTATGTACATGACTTACATATTCAGAAAATGTATCTAATCTAGAGGTCAGTGAGTTTGAAAAGCAGATTGAGAAAGAAGAGCCAGAAAGTAGGAGGAAAATTAGGAGAGTATAGTATCATCAATGCCAAGGGAAAAGGGTGTTTTAAGAAAGTGAGTTGCCAGTTGTGTCTATTATTGCAGAGGGTTTAGTAAAATGCAGGTAAAAAAAAATGTCCATTTGATTTAGAAACAGGGAGGTTATTGATATCCAAATAATAACCTCCAAGCAGTAACCTTGGCTCTGTCCTGGTTTTCAGCGCCTAGAAGATTATCAGCGTCGCCTTGATACCTCCAATCTGAAGCTGTCAGAATACCCAAATGTTGAAGAGCTCAGGGTGAGAGATGGTCTAATCATAATTTAAAAAATAAAATACAATTTGCTAAAGGCCTGGCAGGTAATTAACATATCAGTGGGAACATATGTCACCTGAAGAAATTACTGTATCATAGATGCCTGTATTTATGATTCTGTCTCCTTTTACGTATCTGGTTTATATGAAGATTACTATAGTCCTTCATTAGAGGAATATATGTGTGAAACTAACTTTTGTGACAGGAGTTTGAAGGAGACTAAGGAACATTACCTAATTTCATGGTGTTCTATAGTTTGAATAAGAGTAGGGCTGTTTACCATGGGAACTTTTCCAGATTATTGAGTAAAGCAAGATGACTTACTTATTTTTCGGTGAAGCTCTTCAGAGGCATAAAAGTTGAAACCATTATAGGAATGATAATAAAATATTTATTAATTGCCATGTTAGTACATGAGTCTCTTGTATTAAGTAACATGTTAGGATTTTAAGTCTTTCTTATGCTGTTTCACTAGGATTTGGTTTGGGCACGTTTATGTTGGCAAGTTAAAGCAGACCTTTATGTCACATACAGCAGCTTACCAAAAAGGGTGCTCATATGCGCAGTCCCTTAACTTCAGAGGATGAGATTTTTTCTAGAGTCACTTATCCTAAAAGATGGTTCTCTTACTAAGTTATTAAGAGCAGGTCTGAGCACTACCTGGACTTTTCATGAGTCCTGTTCCCTAGACTTGCTTTGGAACTAGACCCTGGGATTCAGGGGCTTCATGGAGATAAAGTATGCATCATCCTCATGTAGTTATTCATAGAAAAACTAAGGGCTGGGTTGGGAATCTAGTGGCTGAGCCCTTGCCACTCCATCTCCGTGAGCCATTGCCATCAATCTAGAATGAGACGTACATGACGGTGCCCCTGAATGTTTTCCTGTGAGTTGCCTTTTAGAAAATATTACACAGCTACCTTAACTTGGTCTTTATTCCATTTTCAATAGTTGATAGATACCAATGATAGTGAATGTAAATGGTATCTTTTGTGTTAAGAATTTCTTGAAAAGAGACTGGAGTATCATCTCACTAAGTGCTTGGAAATAATTTGTCTGTTATTTTGGCAGAATTTGGATTTAACAAAAAGGAAGATGATTCATGAAGGGCCATTGGTTTGGAAGGTGAATAGAGATAAAACTATTGGTAGGTCTAACGTCTGTCCATTTTGGGGAGAGTGTGGAAGGAAACGAATAGTAAAATTTCCTTTTGCCAAAGAGCAGAGATAACCACACTTTTCAGTTACAGCTGGAAGTAATGCTACTTCATGTTATTTATAATTTATAGAAGATCTAATTTTTTTTGTTCTATGTAAAGGGTGTTGAATATTCATTTAGAAATGAAGCAGAAAAACTTTGTCCTGATTCAGCCCTATCTCTGTTATTCTTGTGTTCTAGTGACTAAGCTTTCTTTAAACCACTACATCTCAAACTGTCTGTGGTGAAGAACCGTTGTTTTCTATTTCTTGTCAGTCACAGACTGACACTACGGTGTAATGCAATAATGGTGAATTATTAAAAATGAAATTTAAAAAGACAAGAGCAGGTTAATTTTGAAATTTTACTTGATTTTCCAGACATAAATTTTCTCTGTTGAATTGTTACAGGGTTTGTAAAACATTTCAATTTCTGTACTAATTGCCTTTCCTACGTGTTTATTTCTAGATCTATACACATTGCTGCTGGAAGACATTCTCGTATTGTTACAAAAGCAGGATGACAGACTGGTGTTAAGGTGTCACAGTAAGATTCTGGCATCTACAGCTGACAGCAAACACACATTTAGCCCTGTCATTAAATTGAATACAGTGTTGGTTCGACAAGTGGCAACAGGTGAGTATGTCTGCTGAGGGATGCAAACCTCTAGGTTCATCGTGATGTTGCATAAGATACTCAGTATTAAGTAGCACAGCAGGCATAGAGTTCTGTTCCTTTTATTTCTTATGCAAATTAAGTGAGGTTGATTTACTCTTGAGAAAGTGAACTAAGAATTTATACCCCAAAGTTGTTCAAGGTGCCTAGATTCTCTTTTCTGCATTTGAAAATTTTCTGCCTATTATTTTTGTCTTTACTCCATGTTCAAGTCATTGATAGACACCAGTGAAGATAGTGAATTGAAAGGTAATCCTAATGAAAGGTTTTCATTAGAGTAGTATACTTTTTGATTTGGTAACAAAACTGAAGGAGGTTGGTGTAGTTTGGGTTTAATGAAATCATTTTTAGTTAGCAAGTTATACATTTATATATATTTATATAATATATGTATATATTATATAACACTGAGATCCCTTTTAAAACTTGTTAGTTCCATAAATTTGTGACCTCTTTTCTCCAATACCCACTGAATGTAATTAACCATTTAGCAAAAGGGTGATTCAAAATACATGCAAAATGGTCACTGAGTTTACTAATTTAGATACATTGACACCTTCTTGTTTCTAATAAATTACTGTGAACTTAGTGCCAGTTTTTATCATCTTTGTTTTATTGAGGTATAAATATGTATAGCAGAACATACAATAAGTTGCCCAGATATTAAGTGTATAGCTTCATGAATTTTTGCAAAGTGAACACATGTAACTTTTACCTACATTAAGATGTGAAATAATGTGAGGACCCTAGAAACATCCTTCATGGCCTCTGTAGGTCCTGTTCATATTGTTAGAGTAATTTTTGTCCTGTTTTTTTTCCAGATAACAAAGCTTTATTCGTCATCTCCATGTCGGACAATGGAGCCCAAATTTATGAACTGGTGGCACAGACAGTTTCTGAAAAGACCGTGTATGTATTAGCTATAGCCACCTTGCTCTAATATCTGTTTATTATCCTGAATGTAATATTCTACAAACTTAACTTTGTTTTTGTAATGGGGCTTTGAAAACCAAAAACTATATGGAAACAAGCACTTCCTCTATTATTTGAGAGATGTTCTTCTAAGAATTGTTCCTTTGTAGATTGATGTCTCTTATTTTGATTATATGCTTTTTTTTTTTCCACTTTTTTTTTTTTTTTAGAGGGCATCTCTCATATTTATTGATCAAATGGTTGTTAACAACAATAAAATTCAGTATAGGGGGGTCAATGCTCAATGCACAATCATTAATCCATCTCAAGCCTAATTCTTGTCAGTCTCCAATCTTCTGAAGCATAACGAACAAGTTCTTATTACATGGTGAACAAATTCTTACATAGTGAATAAATTATTACATGGTGAGTAGTGCAAGGGCAGTCATCACAGAAACTTTCGGTTTTGATCACGCATTGTGAACTATAAACAATCAGGTCAAATATGAATATTCGTTTGATTTTTATACTTGATTTATATGTGGATCCCACATTTCTCCCTTTATTATTATTATGATTTTTATTTTTAATAAAATGCTGAAGTGGTAGGTAGATGCAAGATAAATGATATACGCTTTTGAAAATATCTTTTGAAAGACAAAATTCTGAGAACAAGCAAGTGAAATCTTTTAATGGGTAGTGTATCCATAATGTCCTTAGGTTTTTCTTTAGGAGTTTTTATAATCTCTACTGAATAGTATGTTGCCAAAATAGAGATTTTCCTGGCAGAAGCAGGGATTTTTGTCGGTTGGTTAGCTTTGGTTTCTGGTTTGTTTTTGTTTTCATTTTTGCTTTCCAATGTATTTAAAGGCCCTTTCTTCTTCCTGTCCCTTTTGTACTGCGCCTTCTTTCCTAACTTCCTGCAGCTGGCAGGACCTGATCTGCCGGATGGCCGCCTCGGTGAAGGAGCAATCCACGAAGCCGATTCCGTTACCGCCGTCCCCACCTTGCGAGTGAGTGTGCCTTGCCTTTGCACTGTAGGAGGACGGACTGTGTGTCTTGGTCAGAAAAGGAATGGATAATTCTCATTTTGTTGCAGTGATGTTAGGCTCCTAATAAAGCTGAAAGATTGTTTTCTTTCTTCTATAGAGGAGACAATGATGAAGAAGAGCCTCCAAAATTAAAAGTGGAACATCATGGCATTTCAGTTACTGGTCTGCAGAACCCAGGTAAACTGATCTGTTACATGTACCTGGAAGAATGTTGTCTGTATGTCACTCATTAAAGGCAAAGAAACTTTAACTCTTGGTTTATGCAGGTTCTGGCATCAGCTATTTACTTAAACAAACCTCAGTAGTAGCCTTCTGAGTGCCATCATAACACTGCTCTAAGTGCCGTGTATTTGACTTAACAGATGATTTCTGTAGCTCATGTGGTTTTTTTTTTCCCCCAAGTATTTCCTGAATGCTTCATGTTAAAAGTTGAAAGTTTTGCTTAAGGTAATTTTCTTCTTTTTCTGTTTCATTGAACAGACAGAGGTTTGGGATTAGAGGCTCCTTCAATACCATCAAAGCCTCAGCCGCGCTCACTGGGCGCCTCTGGGGAGTCGGAGCTCGATGATCTCTCTGCAGCCGAGAGACAGTTTGCAAAGGAGCAGCATGCAGACGGGACTCTAAGGGAAGCGGCAGTGAGTTACCAGATCGCCGTCCCAGATCCACACTTGCCTCTCTCAGAAGAACGGTGGGCATTGGATGCACTAAGGAACTGTAAGCTTTATTCAGACGTTAACACAGATATTTATTGAGTGCCAGAGTCGTGTAGTGTGCTATGCAGCCATTATGGAGGATCTAAAGAAGTATAAATTATGACTTTTACTTTCATGAATTCTGCAGTTTAGTTGGAAAGATGACAGAAAACCTTCCCTCACCTTTTTAAGTAACAAACAATACAAGTATATAGAAATTGGTCTGGTTGTGGGGACCAGAAAAAGGGGGCATTAGAAAACAAGACAGATGTGATTATGGCCTTGAAGGGTAGGTAAGATTCATGTAGGCATATTGAAGAATAGAAGTCAGTCAGACAGGAATAGTGTAGGACTAAAAGCACAGAGGCAGAAAACTCTGAGGCTAGTTCAAGAGCAGCGAGTAGATCACTGGGCCTGTGGTAGACCGTGGAAGTGGAAGGGCTCATGGGGAAAGGTTGGAAAGGCAGAAGACATGTCTTTGAGCCCAGTTCTTGTGAACCTGGAGTACCTTATTGGGTCCTTCCAGTCTTAAGGGTGGACATCACAGTGTATTGAGGGCTTTATCAAACTGAAATATGCTGATTGTCTTGGGAGGTTGTAGGATGCTCCACCACGGCCCATCATTCACACACACACACACACACACACGAATAGGTGGGTCCCTGCTGCTGTTAGCTCTCCCCTCCGTCCCTAGCCTGGCTGAGAATTTCTGCTGCAAATGGGATGCATCATACCCCTCAGGTGTATTGGCAGAAAGGCAGAGAATGATGGCTGCAGCTGCAGAGACCCATCTGAAGTCGCTGAGCTAGGGTATGGCTGGTGAGAAAGGATGGATCTGGCTGAGAGCTGTGGAAGGATTTGAATGGAAAAAGCTTTTGGAGTGGTGTAGTTACAGTCAGGCTGTGTTAGTGGTCTGGGCTTGAGACTAGAAGGATTTAGACTAGAATAGTGTCAGGAATAAAAATAAAGTGAGAGCATAAAACAATTGACTTGTTTGGATGTGAGGACAAAGGAAAGGGAATATTTAGAGATAATTTCACTGTTCTTGTCAGAAGTAAAAGTCAGAAAGGACCACCACTGCCCACTGCTACAATTTCTTTATTTCCTTTTTTTATTTGCCAGCTCAATTTTAAAATGTTGAGATTAAGATAATGAATGGCAAGCCATTTAAGAGGAAGTGATGAGTAGAAAAGTTGAGGTTTTAAGTCTGGAAATTTGGAGAAAGGTTAGGGAGAGGGATGGATTTGTGTATCAAAGCTATAAGAATTTTTAGCATCTCTCAGGAAGTGAATGTCGAACAGGAAGACAGAGGGTGAAAAACTGAGACCAATGTGGAGACTGTTTTCCTGAAGAAGCAGAAGGTAGAAATTAAACCTGAGTTGAAACTAGGGAATTGGTCAAGTTCTCCAAGATCTAATTTGTTCTAGATTCTGCTGAATTAACAGTTAAAATGTATTCTGATGGTTTGACATTGTCCCAGTACCTCTATCACTGCATGAAACACCTCACAGGATACACTTGCCCATTTAAAATTAAATTGGTTCTATTTTCAATGACCTAAGGAAGCTGTGCCACTAGTAAGGTCATTTTTTTTAAAAGCTAATAAATATTTTCTTATCCCTTGAAATCATGCATTCTACCAAATCATTGCAATTAAATTTTATTACAAGGCAGTTTTATTGTCTTCTTTGCCATTTAAAGAGATGCTTTGGATTATTTTAAATGATGAAATACATGTTTTCTATATCTAATAAAATTAGAAAAATAATGTCTGTTTGCATAGAGCCTGCTTCTGGAAAAGCAGACTTTCAGGATTTTTGTCTAGCTTAACATCCTTTTAAGAAGTACCTTTGGAGTATTATTCCAGTTACATGGAAGACATAAAAAATAGAAGTAGGCACAGTATTGGTTACTTAGCAGTTCTAAATAAGAGTACCTCTCCTTTAAAAATGCTTTGATCTTTTCAAGTTTAGTTTAATATTAAATCTTCTCTACATGGTCCTTTATTTCATTTTTCAACAAAAGAAGAAACGATTGAATACAATGCATATTTTGATTGTATGTTACTAAAAAGGTGCTTACTTTTAGAGATAATTGATAATTCCACTAATTTAATATTGGCAGTCCAAAGTGAGAGTTGTGAATGTGTGTTTTTCCCTCTTCCTAATCTTTTAGTGGGTTTGTTGAAGCAGTTGCTGGTACGACATCTGGGTTTGACTGAGAAGAGCACCCAGGGAGACTGGCCATACTCCCCAAGATACAGGACAGCCTCTCCGGGGGTGCAGGCAGACAGTGGGACCCAGAACTCTGAGAATGTTAAAGCCTGTCATCCTGGTGAAGGGCAGATGCCCTGTAGAACTGGAACTGGGGACATTTCAACTTGTTACAGTCCACGGACTTCAACTGAATCTTCTGCTCCACGGGATTCAGTAGGACTGGCATTCCAAGAGAGCCAGGCAAGTACTGTTTTAGTGATGGACCACATGAGTGTGACCCCGGAGATGCCTCCTGCAGAGCCGGAAGGGGGTCTTGATGAGAGTGGAGAGCACTTTTTTGATGCCCGTGAAGCACATAGTGATGATAATCCATCAGAAGGCGATGGAGCAGTTAAAAAGGAAGAGAAAGATTTGCGCATCTCAGGCAAGTTTCTTTCATATTTAAACTTCTATTTTGATCATTGTTAACTGTCGTGTGTGTTAATGGATGTTGTTTGGTATCCAAGCATTATTGTGTGTATGTGTGTGATTCATGCAAAAAATAATTACTGAATCTACTCTGTGCCAGCCTCCATCCTAGGTGCTGAGAGACATAGCATTGAATAAAACACAGAAAAAAGCTACTATTTTCATGAGACTTAAGTACTAGTAGAGGAAAGGCATGATAGTAAGTAGATAAACAGATGTCAGATAGTAAGAATTAGGAGGAAAGATAAGTCAGACTAAGGGTTGGAGATGAATGGGGCAGACAGGGCGATTAGGGAGAAGGGCCCTAACGAGGTAACATCTAAGCAGAGACCCAAGTGAGGGAGAAGCTAGGGCACCAGGAAGCAGAGCGCTGCATCACGGGGGCACAGTGCGCAGGCTGCAGGGCAAGAGCAAGCCGTCTGTGGGTGAAGAATGCTAAGGGGGTGTGGAAAGAGAGGCATTTGGCAGGGGAAGTGATGGCGAGATCATATAGGGACTGCAGTTTTCAGCTTTTAGCTTTTAAAATGCTAACTGATGAAATTATTCCAAAATTACTATGGAACTTTGCTAAGTTTAGCTTTAACCTGAAATGAGAAACGTCTGATGTCCTTAAAACTGAACTTGAGAACCTGGGAACTAATGGCTTTTTACCCTCTTGAGTAGCTTTTAAAGTTGCCAGCATGGCACCCCATATCCACTTCCCAGTGTGGTGATGGCGGCACTAACCTCATCAATCTGTTGTGTCTCTGTCGCCAGGAAACTATCTGATCCTTGATGGCTATGACGCCGTGCAGGAGAGCTCCACAGATGAGGAGGTTGCTGCCTCGCTGCCCCCGCAGCCCATGACAGGCATCCCCTCGGCAGACTCTGCCCACCAGCAGCCACATTCTCCCCAGAATGCTCACTCTGATGGGGCAGTTTCACCGTTCGCCCCAGAATTCCTGGTCCAGCAGCGCTGGGGAGCTCTGGAGGATTCCTGTTTTGAGATCCAGAGTCCCTCCTGTGCAGATTCACAAAGCCAGATCATGGAGTTCATTCGTAAGATTGAGGCTGACCTTGAACACTTAAAGGTACTTCAGACTTCAGCATCCATGGGACTTGGTTATAAGAAACACATTGAACAGAGAGGAAGCGCAGAGTGATTAAAATGCTCATGTTGATAGACTTGATCAGGTTCTAGATGGTATGTTTTCCTTGACCACTGCCCATCATGAATGACCTGATGAAAAGCTTCAGTCAGCATTGTCTTACCTGGTTACAGATCACAGGAGCAGAACAAGTTGTAGCTCTAAAAGTTGTGTGTTCGTAGGGGTTTCCAAGTTTAAGAACCTACTTATGATCTGGGTGATTGGCTGACGTCCATGAGCAAATGTGAACAGCAAGCTGTCTCAGTGGGTGTGTGTCATGAGGATCTAGGATGGGAGATACTGTTGCTTGCTGGGCCCTGTTGGTTATCTGTGAATTGTTAGGTGAGGCTGGTACTTTCCCAGATGCCATGACACAGAAATTGGCTGCAGTGGCTCCTGCAATCTAAAACCTAGGCATGGATGGGATTCTTGTAAATTGATAATTGAAGATACCACTTTATTAGCTGCTACCTCAAAACTGACTTGTGTGGTAATTTCTGAGAAAAGGGCTCTATCCTAAAGTTTGCATTTCATAGATATAGCTGCTAGATCACAAATGTTTTCTCAGGACATGGTTTAGTTTAGAGGCTTTAGGGAGAGAAGTAAGTGTTCTTGGCCTTTTAGCCAAAGACTGGTTTCCCTTAGTTTGTCCTCTAACCTCGTATGATAGGGTTTCCCCTCTTCCATGTGATTGTAGGTAGTGTCATCCTGTGGTGGATGAGAGGACATACCTGAGTGCCCCTTAATGGGCGGGTTGGCTTCAGCATAGTTCCTGCCACATGCAGGACCATTTTCAGGGTGACCGTGGGGATGGGAGGGTCACTCTCTCCTTTACCTTCTTTTTATGTGAGAAAGTTTTATGTTACTCACTCAAGGGAGAAACAGTAAAAAGAACGAAATTTGTTCGTTTCCCCTATTAACAAAATTTTTGCTGATGATGACACTGACATTTGAAAGCATGTACATGTCATATAAAAATTTTTTTTATGATGTTCAAATGACAAACCTATGGGCTTTATTTTACAGAAGGTGGAAGAAAGCTACACCATTCTTTGCCAAAGGCTGGCTGGGTCCGCCCCCACAGACAAACACTCAGGTATGTGAAAACTGTGGATTCCAGATTCTGGAATCATCCTGCCTGAGCATACACTGGATGAAATGACTTATCATTCTTGAAAGTGGAAACCTTCTGAAATTCCATTTTTCTTGGCTGTCTTTAAAAAACTACTTGTCTCCAAGCATCCTGTGTCAGGCAGAGGCTGTTGTCTGCCGACCTGGCTCTTCTGTCCTAAGAGGGCTGCGGTTGCCGCTTCCCATGCCGTGTCCCCTCTCTGTCATTCCTCGCCTTTGCAGAAACTGGAGGCGGAGAGGCAGTGAGCACGGTAGACCCTGGGTTCCACCTGAGACCTGCAGGGCTTCTGGGGGCCGAGTCCCCCTCAGGTCTCGCTGTCCTTTTGTGTCCCCTGCAGGGCAAGCAGTGTCTCTCCCTGACTGGACATGGCTCTGTGTTCAGTGCAGCCATCTGCATTCATCGGTTTTATACTTTGGGGTGAGGTGATTCTGGCCCAGAAACAAAGCTCTAACCACGCCCACAGATTCCACAGGGGCTCTCTAAGTGTCAGTTTGTTCTTAATTTGATCTCCACCTATCTTTGTTCTTCCCAGATAAAAGTTAAGAGCTGCATGTCCTGGAGGGGGACTGAAGGTTGCTGGATTTTGAGCGTCGGCCACTGTATCACCACATCCTGGCTCCAGTGTGGACACAGAGAGAATGCGTGACAGAGGACCTGCCCGTGAGCCCTCTGGGGTCAGCCATGCCCCAGGGTGCCCAGAACGGGACTAGTTCTTCACAGTCTGGCAGCTGACTGATCTGTCAGGGAGAGAACACCATTCTCTCGCTCTGCTCTCCTCACTATTAGAAATTCATTTTTGATTCAGAACAAAAACCAAATGTATAGAGCTTTGGGTGTAGGATATGAAATTTTACTTAGACTTAAGAAAAAGAGAAAATCAAATGTATTTATTTGACTTCATTCCGTATTTGAAAGCACATTTAAATTTTTATTTTGCCATGTTTTGTTTGAATTGAGTAGCGAGAGTTTTAGCGCTTTGTATTTCGTACGCACCCAAGGATCAGTCGCTCCTGAAGCACAGAGGTCAGGAAGGGCTGTTAGGAGGTTGGGTAGAGGAGGACGAGGAGCATCTAGCTTTCCCCGAACTATTCCAGGCCCTCTGCCGTCTGGCGGGCTGCTTCTTTGAGGGTCACCTCGAAGACATAGTGTGCCTATGGCTCCTGTGCGCTGTGTGCTGCCCAGGTGGGCAGAGGTCAGGTGGGCTTCCTCCTGCCTGAAGCCAGCACCTCCTCTGTGTTGCTGGGATCAACCCCCAATTAACAGAAATCCTCAGTGTACTAAATAACAGGCACTTGAAAATGGGTGTGTATTCTTCTATTGTTTTCTTTTCTATTGAGGGTTGGGATTTGGGAGGGAGAGGAAAGCAAATTTTATTTTCTTGACTATAAATTTGTTATTCATGGTATTGCTTCATTTTTGTAATTATACATTAGACTTCAGCACTTGTGTAAAATTATCCCTGCAGATTGAGCAGGACGTAAAAGCAAACAAGTGGAGATGCTGCGACGACGGTGGCAGGGGTGGGGGATGCTAAGGAAGGGGGGGATGGGGGCGGGTAAAACAGTTTGTTTTGGGCAGGTTATCTAACTGAATCACTACTGAGTTGAACAATGGCTGTCATTAGCCACGGGTACTGCTGATTATAAGGCCAGTAAAGTTTTAGTACCTGGAGGTTTGACTCTAATTTTTGCACTGATGGTGCCAAAGGGCTCTTTGAGTTAAAAGGGGAGCCAAGGGTGGAGTGGGGAGCGCCGTGGTGGGGCAGGCGGAGCTGCGCCCAGCTGCAGAAGCACTTCCGGCTCCACTGCTGGGGCTCTTTCCGCACTGGTGCATGACTGACCTTAAAAATTGCAGACCAGAACGTACACTGGATACTGCGGGCAAGGTGTTGGTAACCGCCTGCTCTAGGATGAATAATAGTATTGGCAGCACCCTACACAACATGTTTCAGAATTATAACATTGTAAAAACTTGAGAACTCCATCAGTTGCAATTGGCTTTCTCTGGTTTTCTTTGTGCATCAGGTGTATATGTTTTGGAGTATCTTTGCCAACTAAAACTAAATCATTTGTCAAATCTTAAAATTCTGTTAATATGCAAGGAGTTCATCCACTGCTGGTATCTTTCTGTAGTGCCCCCTGAACCCTATGGGTGGTCAGGATGTAATTTTATTCTTCCCTACAGTCCAAAATACTGGACTTCCTTTTTTTTTTGTTCCCTCATCACAAGGGGTCAGGATTCCCAGCTACTTTTATAAACACCACTACAACTTAACAAGCTCATCTGTGTCCAGATTCTTGTTTCTGTCTTTTCAAAACTGATCTATGTTTTTCAGTAGACCAACTTGGATTGCTCGACCTTATCTATAAATTAGAATTATATTTTGAGTCATAGACCAAGTATAAATTAAATCAGAATGGGATTAAAAATTTTAGAAGCAGAAGCTAATATATAAGTGAGCTTGGAACTTGAACTTTCTATTATCTCTTAAGGGAAGCAAATAGAAACCAAATGGTGACATTGTGCTGCTGGAAATAATGTGGTCACTCCCAACTAAAGGGTTACACACTGGTAACCTCTCCATACTAGTACCGTCAGCAGGCAGTTAATCAGGAGAAAGGTAAATACAAAGAGAACTTTCGTCTGAACTTTAGACAGTACAGGGTAATTGCATAATTCTCTAGCACTCATTTAAGAAGTTCTGTAGCTTGGTTTTGATTTCTCTTATAGCTCAGCCAGTATCTTGTCCTTAGCAATTAATTTGCTTGTCTTTTCCTGCAGTTTAACCTCTCCTTGGAACAAAACAGGGCTAACTGGAAAAACGCTTTGACCATAGGTCTAGTACTTAAAAATACATTCATATCTAGATTTTCAAACAAATCCCTAAAATAAAGTCTCACTGAAAAGATCCCACAACTTTGAGTGTTCCTTTTATCTTAACTGCTTAACTTCTTCCCTCCTTCCCAACTTGGCTTCCCACACCTTCCGTTTTTATTTTGGCCATTAAAATTCCTTCCATTTGTTACTAAATCTGCCTTTCAGGATGATAGAATTAGGTATTCATCCTGTCTTTGAGTGAGACTGGTTACCACCGAAGCTGTTTTCTCAAAATTATGTGTCCAGAAGTTGGCATCTTCCAAGCACGGCAGTTAGAGCCGCCGCCTTCCCAGAGCAGGAGACCTGGGTGCTAGGTACTGAAGCCGACTGCCGTGGCCCTGCACTCTCTCCAGTGGGCCTAAAGGCTCCTTTGCTGTTACGTGGCCGATTACATTTGGAGCATCTTCTTCCTTTTGAGAGAACATAGGTAAGGTAAATCAGCAAGCCCCCGAAGTGCTGTAATTTAAAACCATGATTACAGCTCTAGAAGCCGTATATTTTGCATACTTTAAAATCAGCTAACTTGGACTGCTTGAGTTATCTTGGCTTTTAGACCTTAAACTGTAACTATCGATTATATAATACTGCATGGAAGGTATATTTCATAAGCTTTTTTGGCTTCTGTATCCTAAAACACAAAAGGTGAGTCCCTTTAAAAAAGGTTTTTTATTTGTTTTTGGAGGTGGGGGAGGAAGCTAATGTGATAGGAGAGGAGAGAAACCCAATTTTTCTTCCTTTTAGAAGCTAAAGAAAATTGTTTTGCTTCCTGTAAATTGTCTTTTAGTTGCATACTTTTTTTTCCTTTTTGATGGTGAATTTGATGTATTGCTTGGAGCTTCTAGATTCCAAACTGGAAACTGTCTTCTCTGAAGGTGGCAGAGGATGTTATTTTGAGCTGCTAGAACTTTGATATTTCCTCCCCTACGTATCACAGCACCGCTGAGACCTGTGTGTAGAGGACCTCAAGATAGAAAATTAGCAGGACCTGCCCAGTTACCTTTCCGCCGGCTAGTTTTTTTTTTTCCGAATATTACAATTTTTGTTTTGTAAGTCATGTTTTGTCTGACCTTTCCACCCCTTTTCAAAGTGATCTGCAAAATTGTTCTTTCCTCAAGAAGAGTTCCTTTTGCCTCATTCCTTATTCCTTCCCCACTGGTACTGATGGTTTTGACAATAAATTGGTAGGAAAAAAAGTACCTCCTAGAAGGAAGCCCTGTTCACCATTTCCAGGTGCCAATGGCTAAGCAGATGTACTGCAGAAATAACTGTAATGTGCACACTGTTGGTTATTTTTAATAAGCCTCTTCCTACTAGAACATTTTATTTTCCTTGTTCACCATACAATCATGTACTCTATAACAGAAATTGCTTTTAAAGAAATCTGGAACTATCTTTAAAAAAACTTTATTAATAATCATGTATTTTTACTGATCACATTTTGAAATGCCTAAAAGACTTTATTGTTCTAATTATCCAGATGTACCTTTGTAAAATAGCTCTTCTATGAATTAGCTGATAAGGCTGTATGTTTCTGGAACAAAATATTGGTCATCTAAAAACTTTCTGTTTTCTGGGGTCTGGGAAAATAGAAAATGAGAGTTCAAATATTAAATATGCTTAAAGGAACCAAGTATGTGACTTTTTATTTATATTCTTATTGATTTGTCTTGTACAAGGTTGTATTAGAAAAGTGTAGGTGCCAAGGAGGCCTGAATTAATCTTACTGGCAATGACTGTTAACATCTCCCTTGCAGATTAGAGTATCTTTACTAGTGAGACCAGCCAGTTGGTCTCTGTGATGTGTAGACTTCATGAGGGCACTGGCAGCTGGCATTGCTCCAGCTTCTGGGGCAGAGCTGTCATTTTTTTAACAGCTTAATTGAGATAAAATCCACGTATTACACAATTCACTCATTTAAAGTATATGATTCAATTATTTTGGTATATATATATTTTTAATTATAAAATGCATGTAACATGTAATTTGTCATTGTAACCACTTTTAAGTGTATACAGTTTAGTGGCATTAATGGGGCAGCTTTTATGGTTCACTTGAAGATAACTTTGGTTTAATGCTACCCTAAATAAAAGTATGATGTCTTTATTGCCATTCTTATCCCCAATGCTGGACCTCCTAAAGTACCAACATTTTATGCTTTTATGGATCCCATTTTAACTCTGTAGGCTCACTGTGTTTGAGGGTATTTTGTATGTTGGTTTTGACACAGAGGTATAATTTGATGTATTCTTGGCTTACTGCTTCAGTTTTAAGTCATTCAGGGCATGTTTGGCTGGTGTATCTAATAAGCAGAACAAAAAATGCTTAGTTTTTTTTTATTTTGTAGAATCTTTTAGTTAAACCTCTTAAAAATTAAGGATATTCAAATATGGTTTGCAGAAATTAAGCAGAACAAAAAATGCTTAGTTTTTTTTTATTTTGTAGAATCTTTTAGTTAAACCTCTTAAAAATTAAGGATATTCAAATATGGTTTGCAGAAATTAAGCAGAACAAAAAATGCTTAGTTTTTTTTTATTTTGTAGAATCTTTTAGTTAAACCTCTTAAAAATTAAGGATTTTCAAATATGGTTTGCAGAAATTAACCTGTTTGCACTCTTAGCTCTCGTTATAAACGTAACTGGTCGAACAGATAAACGCTCATACCATTCTCACTTGCTCCAAGACGGCCACCTTCTAATAGGAATGGAGAAAGTGAAATCCTGTCTTTGCACGTGAGCGGTTGCTCCCACTTCTTGCTGTCCTCTTGCAAGCCAAGTGAGTGGGACACCAAGGGTTTTAATACTGACCTGAAAAATAAGAAGATTCTGATGAAAATGTTGCTTTTCATTTGCGCCTGATGTCTTCTTACTATGACACATGTCATAAAACATTACAGATGCACAGCTAGATGTGTTTCCTGTTTTTTTTCTGTAATGTCAAATATAATTCTTGTTACTAACTGAAAACACTTCCTCAATTTCTGCTGTCAGGGAATGTTTGTTTTACCACCTCTTATTACTATTGAGACATCATCATTCCCTGAGCACCAGCCTAGGTCTTGGTTTGAAATCATTTGAGGTAGGTAGAACTCTCTTTCTATGCTATTATTTCCCCTCATTTGATTTGGGTGTTTGGACCTACCTGTAATTCAGATTTTTTCCTCTACAGCATTTTATGTCAGTGCATCCCTTTCTTTGTACATGCGACCACAGTTAGGACTGCTTGAACACATTCTGATCTAGACAATAATTAGGGTACATCTTGGTAATCTTTTAAATTTTTGTAGAAGTATCTGTACAGAGAAATTTTTTTCTACTGCCAGTATTTTAAATATTAGAGGCAGGTAGCATGAAAAAGTACAGTGGTTCTCAATCCTATTTATCTCAGGACCACTTTACACTTAAAAATTACTGAGGATCTTATTTATGGAGGAGCTTATGTTCATGTAGATTATGTCTATTGATATTTATTAGAAATTAAAATGAGGGATTTATTAATGAGGAATGAGAAAAATAAAAACATTAATTCAATTGAAAGTAATAGTAAACCCCGTACATGTTCTTATGGAAAATTACTATATTTCCACAACAAAAGTATTTATTGAGAAGAATGTTTTATAGCTTTTCAAATCTTTTTAATGTTTGGCATAGTAGAAGAAAGCTAGATTCTCATATCTACTTCTGTATGCAGTCTGGTGTGGTATGTTTTGGTTGAAGTATGTGAAGAAAATCTAGCCTTGCACAGACATCTATTTTTAAAAGGGAAAATATTTCAATCACCTTTGCAGATAATTGTGGATATTATTCTTTGATTCTTCACTGAAACTTTAAGGCAGTTTCTTAAAAGATAGCTGCAATGTGGAATCTGAGGCCATTTCAATGAAATTTTATACTTTGATAAAATCTATCAGTCCATTTTATACTTAAAATGTGTGAAGAATAGAATCTTTTACCAAGGCATGATTCTGAAATACCCAGTTGTAGTTATTTGGAAATTATTGGTGTACTGAATTATGCAGGTCTTCAAATGTTGATTCATTTCTTTATATAAGATTTAGAAAATTGCATTTGTTAATGATAGCTGATCTTTGAAAACTCTCATGTGGTGGGTACAGATGTCCAAAAACTTCTGATTTTTGCTTGACAGCTCAAGTTTTATCATTGGCAACAAATAGAGTTGTTTTTCTTTAAATGACAGACTCGCTGTGTTCATCTGTGAGACATACCTGCCAGACATTCACACCTGCATAGCCACTGCTTACCTGCCATTCTTTCAAATTCAAGTGATATTGAGACAAAAAAAATTTGGCTAGTTCAGCTGTCAACTCAAATAATTTTCCAAGGCTGTTCCTCCAGACACACCAGGGCACCTTGGTGTGAGGCAGATTCCCATTCCATCACAGAATAGCAAAAAGATGCCCACTCAAGCGTTGAGGTTTAGTAAGATTGTTCACTTCTTCTGCTTCATCAAAGGCATTCCAAGTGATGCTGGCAGTGTTTGGATTGCCAGGGAGTGGCAGTGAAGAAAGCAGTGGCTCCTGGTGATTCTTGGCGTGCCCTGGAGGCGGGATAAGCCGGCTGCAGCTTTCCCCCCCGCTGTTGGCTTTTGTGCCATCAAAGCAGACGCTAATGTAGTGAAAGGCAAATGGTGGCAGAGTCAATTCAGGGAAATAGTTTTGACTCCTAAACCCCCTGAAACACCCAGCCGTTTGCAGACCACACTTGGGGAGCTGTTGGTGGTGACACAGCCTGAATTTAGGTGAGGGGATCCACTGCCTGCTCTCCTCCGCACCTCCTGTGTGGCCTTGAGCAGCCTGCCCTTCTGCTTTTCACTTTCTCATCTATAAATTGGGGTAGATAATACTGAGCTTTAACAGAATTGTTATGAGGGATAAATGGGAAATTACCAAGCATATCATTGGTGTCTCTCCAAAGTTGGTTGGTTGTTTTTTTTTTCACTCTAGGATCTGAGTACTTAAAGTAGAGAAGTTGAAAAATGATCAGTGAATTGAGAATATGTAAACATCTCTCTTACTAACAGCCATAGTTCATGTTTCATAATGGCTCTGTGTGTGTAAACCCTAGTTGCTTAGGGGTGTGTGTGCGTGTGTGTGTGTATGTGTGGTATGTTTGTTTATTTTTGAAAAAGTCGTTGCTAGCCTCTGTTACACAGCTGACCCTTGAACAACACGTGGAGTTAGGGGTGCCAACCCCATGCAGTCAAAAATCCATGTGTGATTTTGACTCCTCAAAAACTTAATTACTAATAGCCTCCTGTTTTTATGTGTAGTATATACTCTATTCCTACAATAAAATAAGCTAGAGAAAAGAAAATGTTCATTCAAATTGTTGCAAACCTCCAAAAATATTACCAATATATTAATGGAAAGAAATCCAGATATAAGAGGACCCGTGCACTTCCAACCCATGTTGTTCCAGGGTCAACTATACTTGTTTTATCTAGTTGTTCATTTAAATGCAAAGAACGGGGAAAAATATCTTCAATTTAAAAGAACCTCAGTGTTAGCGAAACCTATATATTAGACTTGGGCTGTTGTTACAAGGGAGTGGAGTGTTACGGTAGGAGGTGTTCCAGAAATTTCCATAATCACATGAAACCTGTGCTGCTCATCTTCCTAAAAGCCCCCTTCTGTGTGCACTGCGCTACTACTACCTGGGTTTATTTTCCAGTTAAAAGCTAGATCTTGGTAGTTTGGTAGTTTCAAAACACCTTTATTCTCTTAAAATATATGAGCTGCTTTCTTTTTAGTTAATGGAACACTGAGTTATACAGTGGTCATATAATGAGAGTTTGTGTTTTACCTTCTTAAAAAAGCTTTGATTATCACATCCACTACACTAAAGGGCATAGGAGGTTTTCATATTCAAATCATGGTAGCACTTCGAGACTTATAGCCCGATAGCCGAACCTATAGCCCGGTAGCCGAACCTATAGTCAGGTAGCCGAACCTATAGCCCAGACATCATGGCCTGAAGTCAGTGTATGGTAAGTTTCCTAGGATTTCTCCCTGTCTTCCTCTCCTCAGAGAGAGGGCTAGACACAGGACCAGGAACACAAGACCAAAACAAACATTTCTTTCTACTCTGCTCGATATTAGCTGGTTGTCTGAACAAGTCATTTACCTTCTCTGGGCCTCCGTTTTCTCACCTGACAGTGAGAAGTCAGATGATGATTATAAGGTCTCCCCAAGTCCAGCAGTCTGTGAAATTGATAACAGAGGCGCATAGAGACCCAGCTTACCTCTGGCCTGCTGGCTAGTCTCAGGTAAGCCCTATCCTGACCTCTTGAGTTTCTCCAAGTCAAAGTATGATTTTAGTTATCACTCACTGAAGTCTGTCTCCCAGGGAGTTCCTTTTTCTCCTGTTCTTTTTCTGAATATCTGTCTTTCTTTTGACAGCTTCCTCTAGTTCAGTATTACCTACAGTCTGATGAAACATTATTTTCATTTTTTCTTTTATCCTGCTCTCCCTGCCAGTTTACAGGAATCTTGAGGGCTATTGTGAAAGGAGATCTGACATTCCTGGTTCAGAGGAGACTTTCTGAGCACAGAGTGAGGAGAGACTGGCAGGTCTTACCTCCATCCCAGCTCATGTCCTGAGTGATGGCC